TTTTTCGGGTAATGGATAAGAGTCACAGTCACACTCAGCACAACTCTTCTCTGGGTCATAACGATCACAGCTTAATTTTAAGTGAGGTTAAGCGTGACTGGTAATTATTTTTTTCTAGCAGAGAGTTGTGACTGATTTTGCGTCCTCTTACCTGCGCAAGTGCAGCGGATATGCTAGAGGCGGTCGCCATTGCGCTAGCGCTCATCTGGATGGTTCCGGCGCGGACCGTGGAAGGAAGGAAGGCGCTGTTGCCAGTTCCAGAAGACGAGCCTGTGGGCGTCACGAATCACGACGAGCAGGTAGGGGCTGCTACTTATATTATGTTTTGTATTCTGTATTTCATTCGTTAGATTTGATAATAGTATTCATCCATTTTGGCTAGGGAAAGTGAAACATTAAATTGTTGATACATGTTGAACAAAAATAAAACTATTTCTAGACACTAAACTTATCAAAACATTTTTATAATGGAGATAACTATGGCCATGTCGTAAACAAAAACAAGCATTTTTCAATCCTGTAACTCCAAAATAGTTAATTTTACAACAAAATATTATAGGACCTTTTTTGTAATAAATTTTATCTACTTATTTTTGTATATAAAATATTTTTCTATGGGATTGATAGTTATGTAGACACATGCAAAAAAAGTCAAAAACGCCCCTTAAAACGGTCGTCCCAACCTTGTCTCAACCCCCCCTCACTTAAGAACTTGTAGTATGTTATGCAGTAGATACCAAAAATCATGTCAAGTTTCAAAACTCTTTGATTTTTTCACTCGATTTATCTAATTGGACTAGCTGTCTATTTCTCATTTAAGGAAACAAAATCCATCTGCATTATCGTAGTTCAAAGAAGAGGCAACTTACAAATTTCATCTACAATTTCAACTTTGATCCACAACTATTGTTACAGAGTGGCAAAGCCTTTCTATTAATAACTACTTTTCTAATTTGTTTGGTCTGACTAGCTTTCCTGTTTTGCGTCATCTTCCCAGCTGTCATCTATCGCCACCCAAACAACATTTTTTTACATTATCTCAATTTTTCGGTTTTTAATAGTATAATTGAAACTTGTCTTTAACAATATTATAGGAGAAAAAACCTTGACCTATAAAGAAATTTTGGTCTTTAAATTTGCAGTCCTAATGGAGAAAATGTCGTTTAAGCATAGCTAGAAATGAGAAATTTGAAACCCTTTTTCACAGAAAGCTTTTGAATTTTCGAGAAACTTTCATAGAAATGATTTGAAGGACGTACTAAAAAATGCAATAATGTATACAAATCCATGGAAATGTAAATATTAACAGCAGGAGAGATATTTAACAAAGATATATTTGTTAATTTAAAAAAGAACAAAAAATAGATCAATTTGGCATAATATGGAATTTCTGTCACAATATTCAAATGTTCCAAGAAAATGAAAGAACAAATTCAGGGTCGTATTCGGTTTGAGTGTTTCTGAAAGTGAGGTTTGGAGGTTTTTTAAAAATGACGTTTGAACTTTTTTTAATATGTGGAATTTTGAGCTCGTGTTCACAGAAAACATTTGAGATTCCGTGAAACTTCGTAAGACGTCATATGAAGCACTTGTTCTAGCAAATGCAATAATGTATACAAAATTGCCGTTATTGTGAATATTAACGACGTGAGAGAGATTTTAAATAAATTACATTCGCGAAATTTTCAAAAAATAAAAACAAATAAAAATAGTTCTTAATGTAATCGTATATAGTGCATTGAACATTATCCCTTCCAAAAGTTCGCCGTTTTCCCCCCGCAGCATTACAAAACATGGTGTTCTGTGTCAGCAGTAGTGAGAAAGTAAAATGCATAATTTTCATCTTCTCCCTTCAAGAGAATTCCAGAGAACCTCCCCGGTTGCTCCTACTGTAATTTATTAGTTGGTATAATTAGTTATGGCCGTTAAATAGACTTTCAAGATATTGTTAGTTAACTTACAAATGCAGGGCGTGTACCTCTCACTGCACAAACCTTCGCAAAACACAAACAAGTTGAATTCACTCATGCCGTCGCAGTCGGTGGAGCATGGAGAGATATTGCGAGTGCACTAAATGTTCTGTCCCAATATTAATCCAATGTTCAATATAACCAGTGGCCCCGCGGTAAATTATGTCTTCCAAACGATGACCACAATAAGTAGACTGGTGAAAAAATTCTTTATCCAACACTTTATCTACACGAAGTCGGTTACGGACCTCCCGGCAACGCGCTGAAGTGACTCCGTTGATGCCCTGAGCTACCTGTCCCAGTCCCCTCTGTCCCTTGCCCAGAAAGCCTTTGAATAGACGTGCGAGCTATTTTATGGTACAGTGTTAGTAAACAAACAAATGGAAGGACTTGACCTATCAATGCACAAACCTTTGCAACTCGTGCGACGTCACAAGCTGAATTCACCCGGGCCGTTGCAGTCGGCGGTGATGATTTGGTGATTTCACTAGATGCCACGCCTCGATTGTTCTTCAGTGTCCAATAGAACTGATTGTCCCTCGGTAACGTCCGTCTTCCGATGTTCTAAATGATGACCGCAACACGTAGACTCGTGTAAATGTTGTTTATACAACTGCTCCCGTCTACGCGAAGTCGCTCAATCTAAGATTTCTTCTCGACTACGAGAGACTTTGCTTCTCACCAAATGAAGAGAGACTTGAAAACTCACCAAATGGAGAGTCGCGGAGTCCTCCGCCGCTTCCGGAGAGGGCCGTCGGGCGTCGCGGCGCCGAGTGGAGTGGCGTCGCACGGCGCCCCGACGACGTCTCTTGAACGAACACTCGCGTGACGTCAGGATGGTTCTCTCCGATGGCGTCACGAGCACGGATGACGTCACGACTTTGTTGGAGTCAACGCCACCGCGTCTTCCAGAGGACGTTTACTGTTTGAAGCAAGCCGTATGCAAATAGTTGCCCGTTATTATTGGTCGTGGAAATCAACATGGCATTGCGGCTTATACATTTTAATTTTAGTAATTCACATTCTTTTGTCACTTAGTTATCTATTAATTTATAATTTATGGTGGGTTTTTTTATCTATTTTAAATGTATCTGCATTACTCATAGCCTCCTTTTCATGATTATTCACTTAGTTATTCTTCATACTACACATACAATGCCTTACATGATAAGTGTTCCGTCTACTCATTTGGCATCGCAGCCCTTGCCATATAAGAGATATTGTGAATTAATGATCGATTCAATGAATTATATTAAAATTTTACTGCATAGCAGCTGTTTTAATTGTGTCTTCAATGCCTAATGCATTATTCTTGTGAACGTTTTGAATGAGCTATTTGTCAAGAAATTGATATGTTGGTTCATTGTTGGTTGTGATTTTTATTTCATGTTCATTCGTCATGATCTCTTTCAGTCAGTAACGGTCACATTGTGTAACATCGCGTCTTCTGACCTCTTAACCTAGCTTCTTAAATCTAAGTGAAACATTGACTTTTTTACTCACTTATAAAATTCAATTTATCAGTAAATTTGAGTTTGTAGTGTATTACTGACAATTAGATAATTATCTATACTGAGTTCATTTATCTCGACTGGATCCAACAGCATTCGATCACGCAGAAACAATGTTTTAAAGCGTCTTTAACATTAAAACATTGAAGTATATACACTCTCAAAAACATTTTTCTTAAAATAATGTAAATTTTCTTTATCCCTTACATTGTTACTCATTTAACCCAATGGTTAAGTATTTTCTCTATTATGTAGATATTTAATATACCGCGTTTTAAGTAAAAATTAAGAAGTGTTTTTTACAATTTTTTGGTTCTCCAACAGGTAAATTAACGTTAGACTTACAGATTTGTCTACAGCAGCAAAACCTATTTTTATTCAGGAATTGGTCCAAAACACTTTTTTGTGGTTGTGAGAGAGTCTTACCGAGAAACATCATTGTTAGACGATTTAGAAAATTTCTGAAATTTTGAAAAACTTCATAACAAAACATTATAAGCATTTGAGCTCACAAATTTACTAATGAATGAATGAAACTGTATTTTAAATGTAATGAAGTGTGAAATTTTTTTAAACATTAACTGTAGATTTCGAATGTCAAAAGGTTGATTCTAAACTGTATTCAGGTCAAACATGTTTATGTTATATATATATATATATAATATAAAATGTTTATATATATATATAAACAATTGACATTTGGGACCGTTTTTGAGAAATTATCTTATAAGTACTTGTGTAATAAAACCAAGATTTAACTATAAATTACCTGAAAATTACGAATATTCTGGAAATACTATAGATGAAATCATTTCCTGAAATTTTATAGACAATATCAATGCGTTCAAAAATTTGAAATTCTAAATTAACTTTTACAAGCACTATTGTTCTTTCTCTCCCTCTTTATTTTCTTCTTTCACGTTTTACAATGAGAAAAATTTAATGAATGATATGAAACGTAATTCATTTAGTTTTTATCATATTTTACTTTTGAAAATGCCAATATTAATTCTATTTTTCCTTTCTCGCTTTTTTTACTTTTTACTCAATGCGTATTCTCAATGTGTTCTTTTTCTTTCTTTTTAAGCAATCCGCAAAACTTCTCCACAACGCCGCTTCGATTGAGGACTTCATCAGCACTTGTTTTGTTTATATAATCTTGTCTCTTATGAGAAACCACGGGCGCTCTCTTTGGTGAAAAGCAATAGTGTGTATCGTACCTGAAGTGTAGATGTTAGATATCGGAGATGAAATGAAACACAAAAGGATCTGTTATCTTACGACGAACGGTATCTCACGAATGTTCATAATGAGTTTTATGTTGATAGCATATATTCTAATTACTGTATTGATATTATTAGCCCAGCGAATGCACAGTTTTTTATAACGGTGAATTGGTTGAATTGGACGATTTGAAACAATTGCTGAGATGTTAGTAGCACATAAAATGCAATATTTCAATATTACGTAGCTGTTTCCAATAACGCGAGACAGTATGTGCTGTTGTAGCACCACTAGTTCTTTCTGTTTCTCCATTTCTTTCTCCCTCTTTCTAGCCCTACTACGTGTGCTCTCAGTCTCGCTTCTGCACTCTCGTTCCCTGGTTTTCACTCTCGCTCATTCTGTAATCTGCGTTTCCATGTCGCTCATTTCTTCACTCATTCGTTATTTATTCCTTTCCTTGATACTCTGACGTATTGGTTGCTCTGTGGACGCAGGTGGTGTTTGCCCTTCCGCAGAAGACGCCCTCATCGAGCGTCACTTGTCCGTCACGCAACAACTCGTTCCAATGGCAGGCGCGCGGCGTCGACGCGCACATTGCGCGCATTCTGGCGGCGCACACTGGCAACTTGCGGTCGGGCTGCTACGTCCTGGACGAGGGCGACCAGGACGACGTCCCATTCGACGAGAGGGTCGGCCCGATCGACTTCCTGGCCAATGGCACCGCGCATCTCTACATGGAGGCCTTTTACTGGATACCGGACCTCGTGGACCAGGTACTCCATGAAACATGACTCGTTTCTTCACGAACCTCTTGGTCTTACACACGTATACGATGTATGCTTTTTTGCTGATTTTGTTCTGTCGTAAACACCTTTTTTCTTTGTCACACTCTCGCCAGCATCTCTCTCTTTCTATTCTCCCCCACGCACACATCCATGTTGCTAATCTTTTTTCTGACCAATCATATTGTTTTCTAACCTTCTCTTCCTCTTCTCTCTATTCCTCCCAGCCTCTCCCTAGTTCCTCCTCTTCTGTCCCTCATCCTCTCTCTTTCTCCTTTTCTTTCTCTCACCCTTTCTTACCCTTTCTCCCCTCCCTCCCTCAACCGCAATTGTTTTCTAACTCTCCCTCTCTTACCATTCTCACTCTCTGCCTGTGTCTCCTATTTCCTCCTTGTCTCCTCCCCTCTCTCTCCCTCCCTCTTCAACCCTCTCTCCCCCTATCTTCCTTCTTCTCCCTCCCTCCTTCTACAACACTCTCCACTCCCTTCCTCCTTCTACAACCGTCTCTCCCCCTCTCTCTCTCTTTCACTCTCCCTTCTCTGCCCTCTCATTTCTTCCCTCACCTCTCTCTCACTCTCACTCACCTTCCTCACATACCTCGATTCTTGCTACCACATTCTTCTTTTGACACATACACGCATCCTCCCATTGTTCTCAGTTTGTTCTCCTCTCCCACAAACATTTATCCTTCTCCCTTCAATATAAAATTTCTCTAGATTTTCAATCTTCTATCTTTTCGTCAATTTAGCGCATGAAATATTTGAACAGAATTGCGGCAGCATACTGGTTAGGTCGCACATCTACTAACTTGATAGACCCGGGTTTAAATATTATCATAGCTGTGAATTTGTATCCTGTCATGACCTACTCATGCGCTGCACGTAGCCTTCGTTCCAAATGAGTACCTATATTTACAGGCTTTATTACAAGTATTAAACATTGAATAAAAATGATCCCGGTTGAAACAAGATGCTTGCCCCCCTCCATTTTTCACTCTACTTCTAGAAATAAGAACATCTTAGACACTTGGTACATTAATTGTACAGAGGGCCATGAAAGTAAGTGGTAACCGGATAATGGCTGAAAAGGAGTATTCTCTAACCCTAATTAGGACAAACCTGTATTATCTAAAGTACTAGGGTAAAAAAATAAAATTAAAAAAAACTGAACAAAATAAATAAATGAATTCACTTCCATTGCGCATTCCTTCATTGCTTTATTACCAAATCATCAAATTGTTTTCTGTTGCACACCAACTATTACATGCAAAATATCTACCAATTCATGTGTAACACATACCTCCTAAGTGTTTTGTATTTCTAGGTGTTCCGACAACCGGTTGACTTCCTGTACCCGCATTATTTTGATGACTTTTGCCTAGCACTTCGTAGCACCGGCCCACAGACGACCAGAATCTACAATGCTTTCTCTCTCAGCGTGTGGATTGCGACAGGAACCTTCTTTCTTCTCTTCGCCACCATGTTGAAGTGAGTCTTAGTAGCATAACTTTGATGCTGGCGTACGGGGTGCCTGCGTAGTCCAGCACTGTTTCGGGGCCCTTTGTGCCTTCAGATATGTTTATGCTTTTTCAAACTTCTCAGCACGTTTTGAGAAAAGCTTTAGGCACGTAACTAGTTTACTAGGCTGTCCGGGAGACGCCGCGTCCATGGGCAAAGGTTGCCGACGTTTTCGGTCGCTAATTCCTGCGACCTTCTCAGGGGAATGCGCGGAATGTGCTGCGCACGAGTTTAAATGGGGCTAGTTTCTCCTCTACCCGGTGCTGGTTGGCCGTCAGGTGATCGGGCGCAATGCGGAGAGAGTGCACGAGCCTCAGGGCGGGCTCTCCGCAGGGTGAGAGGAGGCAGCTCCGTCCGTAAATCAACGTTGCGAACAGTTAGGAGCGTACCTCGTCGAGATCTGACGTCCCTGGTAAAATAGGTTTTCCAGGGGCATTTTCGTTGTTTAAGAGACCGTATGCCTTGTCAGCATTTAAGTTTATAGGGTATGTTTGATGATTTCACCGCCTCTTTTACCCTCCTCGTGCCCCAGCGGTTTTCTTCTGGCTAAGAGCGTGTGTCATAAATAAAAATAGCGTGGCCCAGTTTTCCAAGCGTGCAGGGGTAGGCCGATTTATTCGTATTATTGTATTTATATTACGAATATGTTCACGGGAGGCGTTTTCTCCTACCGGGTTCGGTTCCGTCTCGCACAATGTATATGCGCAGACTGCATGGATCTCGTGATACGCCACGATGACATAAGGGGAGGGACGGATCTTTCCCGCGTTCACAGCTTTTGCCCGAGTTTTTGCTGGGCTTCTTGGTAGGCCGTCTTTATGTCAATAGGCGGCTCAGAAGGCTTGCAATCTTATCTGTGACACCGCGATATATGGCAGAAGTGGCTATCTTTTTTTTAAACTCGTGGCGCAGCACATTGCCGCGCATTACGCCCTGAGGAAGGTCGCAAAATGTGGACCGAAACGTCGCACGTTGCCATGGGCCGGCGGGCGTCACCCGGACAGCCTAGTAAATACTGACTCCGGCCGCGGAAGCCTACGCTCTCACGTAACTAGTTGTTTAACTTTTAAACGCTTTTGGTTCCTTTCTAGAAATCAAAAGAAACGAACGACAAAGCGACGTGTGGTTACTGAGTCACCTCGTTCTTCCTTTCCTACAACTTCTTGCTACTTAGTTCACAGCAGTTGACAATCCAATTGCACCGTAAACGGCAGGGCCTTATAACTTCAATATAACGTGGTGGAAACCATTCTTCACAATACGAACTGAGAACGATACTACAAACGTGCGTGGCTACTGTGCGAATTCGCGAGTCGCAAGCAGGACCATAATGACACAAAAGATGGCGCCAATGTTCGCGCTTACTTTAGGAGTTTCTTATATGTGTATATTATGAATAATGGAACATATAAAAGACACTTTTCCTATTTCTTACAAATTAGCCAATTTTTATGTGCGGAAGTTGGCTAGCCGAAGCTGCAGCTGCACCTGCAACACTAGCGCCTCCTAGAGTAGCACCGTCGAGCTTTGTCCCCTGTTTTGATGGAGAGTTGCAAGGCCGTGGTTAACGGTTTTAAGATATAGTGGAAGTAGTGTTGGCATCGAGTGATTGAATGAATCAACGGCTCCTTCCCGCCTTTTTAGTCGTTGCAATCGGTTGGAATCGTTCGCCCAACGATTACTTTGTAGTTCGCCCTTCTCCCGTACACGAATTTACAGCGCTAATGTGTCAATGTTTTATACGTATTTAGTCGTCATAATAAAGCATTTATTTTAAACTTTGAATTTGTCTTATAAAAATATTGCCTTAGAGTTAATTTTCAGTGTACATTGCCACAGCATTTTTCCGCATTTCCGATTAGTACAGTTGCACCGGTTACACCGAGTGAATTGGTCCATCATCCATGTAGTTCTTCGATGTTACGTCTGCTCCGCGGTGGCGCTAGTGAATAGTGAATCGACTACGTGACTCACGAGTCATAAGAGCGAACCTCAGGTCTCTTTCGTGCAACTTCCTTAAGTGTTGTATATTGAAGAATTCACCTATAAACTATGGTAATGTACATTTAAAATGTATAAACCACAAATTAATGCAGTTTTGTAATAGTAACAACTCACTTAATTCTATGAGGAATTATACTTCTTCCATGCCCCTATTATTTATTCACTTGGAAGGGAACTTCAGATTAATTGGGCAGTTTGAAATAAAATGTGATATTGATGATTTAAATGATTCATAAAGACATATTATGTTTGTTTCGTCCGAGGTGTACTAAAAATTCTATGATTACTTACATTATTCATTTATTTCCATTTTCTCGAGATTTTGAAAGAGCCGCCTAGATAAGTGCGTTCCACCTATCACAGCACAGATACCGACACAACTGGTGAACGATTTCAACGATTCAACCATGATTCAACAAATCAGTCTGAAAATCGGGCTACTGGTTCAATCAAAAGTTGGGGCCCCTCCGGATGGCACATCAGTGGAAGCGGGGATACGTAATGGGGGTCACCGGGTAACGGGGGTTAGCATTAAATTATCGATAAATATTGCAAACAAACCGCGTTGAAAGGCGTAAGCATGTGCTTCTACCTACCATTGGCCACGATAACTGTAGCCAGTTGATCGCCAAAGCCAAAGAAAGCTTACGTCGACGATTATCGCTTTCGTGCCAGGAAAGTGAGTGGTTGATAATACTCTCACAAAATAAGGTCTTACTGACGTGAACTTAGAGAGTTTTGGAAGACTTAAAATTTACTGAAAATAACTCATTTCATTCCAATTGCGAGTAATTTTAAGCATTCTATAAAAGTTTATGATAAAAATGCGCTTGTGTGCTAATGGTGGTCAGTAATTCTCATTATTGCAGTGTGGCTGCTATTATCATAAACAAAATAATTTATTTATTTTAATGAGTTTTAATGCCCTCTTGGTTCTATTTATGCTTGTTGCAAGAATGGATGAACGAATGAAAAATTTATTGAATGGCTGAGATACTTTAAAAGCCTTCCATGACCAGTGTTACTGATCATGGACAGCCTTGACAATCACATTAATTTAGACAGCTGCAATTATGTACAACAATACTGCAATTATATACAAAATAAACACTGAAGTACTAATGTTTTCATTTTGCTTTATATTGCTTTAGTGACTCTCATTACCCACATGTGAGAGTATTCAAGATCAATTGTAAATGTTTGGAAATTCAATACTTGAGAGGGTTTTAGTGAATTTTTAATTATTTTTTGTAATGAAAACAAGCTTAATAACTAATTTGTGATATAAAAACACATGCTTGTTCATAAGAACAATTCGTACTGATTTATATTGAAAAACAAAACAAAAAGTGACTCTTATTACCCCCGCTTCCCCTACACACCCCGTGGTAAATGATATTTAGATCCTTTTATTGACTTCATTTCATTGATATTACCTCATTATTACTTTAAATTTTTCTTTCTCACGGGTGCTCTCAATCTTTTTTTTAGTTTATTGTAAAAAAATCCCTTGTGTGAACCGTACATTTACATAAGCTGACAAATGTTTGTATTGCAATCACCCTCATCTTGGTTCACCAGCATATTTAGCAGAAGAGTTGCCATCAATTGTCAATGCTTTCAGTGATTATTCTTCTAGAACTCTTGCCGAAATCCTCAGAGACGTTCAGTTTCTAAAAATTCCTAAAGGTAAGAGAGATATGGAATCCTGACTTAGGAATGTAATTATATCAGAAATTTTCATACATCAAGAAATTGTGTTCTACTAGCTAGTCCCAGAATGCAATTGCAAATAGAAAAAAAAACGAAAACAAAAAAAATACAAACAAAAATTTATACAGCTCTACCTCATAAAATTCTCAATTTAAACTCCACATACCGTTTCATCAATTGAAATTTAAAAAAAATATTCGTGAATTTATCTTCATGCAATAAAATGTAATAAAATAAACAAATAATAATGTAAACAAATAAACGAATTAAATATACATTTTGCACTAATCGTTAATCAATAAATTAGAGTTTTTGGTGTTAATAAAAGAATAAATATTTCTTCTAGTTTTATAATTTCACACTAGCTCTTTTCTTAAATCGAACAGATTTCCTGAGCGGTGGCTATGAATATGTCCTTGACCTTGTCCCAAAGACCTGTTAACGGTTCACTTCTCCGCTGAGCCTGTGTGTTCTCGCACATAATTTGTACCCTGCACAGGCTCGTTTTTTTGTGATTCTCTAACACAGAAATAATAAGAGTTGATCTTACTTCATACAGTAGTTTTCGTACAAGATAAATGAATTCTCTTCTTACGTTTCCATTGCAGCAACCATCTGCTTGGCCTCCTCTACAGAAATGTAGAGATTTTGGCAGTAAAACGTTCCAACAATTCTTCCTACTGCAATAAGCAATGTAAATGAGTCATATCTCATTATGTATAAATAACCTGATTGCAAATGCTTACTTGTTCAATTATTAGAAGCTGAAATTAATCTGTTTTTGAATGAATTGTAATAGTTAAATGAAACTCGCAACTTGTACATGGGCGTAGGTAATTTTCACGCCCAAATCACTTGGTTCTTACCTCTATACGTGAGCTTCCATCAGCTGAATTCCCGTTTCGTTAATAATTACAAGACACTTTCGAAATGGCTTTTCTTAGCAGTACTAACAACAGTGTTTACAGTCAGCGATGGATACAGTAGAGAGTCTCGCCCCTTCCTTCTCCCGTTCGTTGTACCTTCCGTGGAAAGCACAGAACGTTGACTCACTCCCTAACAGTTGACTGTCGGAATTACCGCGCAGTTTGAAATGTGTATTTCCTGTGTCATATGACTTTCAAAGGACAAGGATCGCAATTTTATGACACTATATTTACAATATATCATGCATGTGATATTTTTAATGCTTTCTTGGTTCAGGTTTTCTTACCTACGTGTCACAAAACACAGAAGAAACTATATCATTCTGTTCAATGTGTAATGCTAATACCTGGTCATTAAACACATGAAGTGCAATTGTACAGATTGTCTTAAAAACAGATTCATTAAAAATAGTCCATCACTTGTTGGGTCTCAACTCATTAAACAAACTTTAAATTAACGCGTATTATTAAAGAAACAAAAACGTATATTGTTAATTTCTCTCTCTTATCAAGGTACTTCGTAGGAAGAGAAAGTTATGCAATCGTGCGCCGAAAAACGGCGAATTTTAGTCAGATAAAATTCGAAATTCCCCTGAAAAAAGTGAATTAATACTATTGCAAAATTTAGAAAAATTCATTACCACGTGTTGTAGGGAGAATCAAAGTTTTGTGAGTCCCTGATACCGAAAAATGGATTGACTGCGAGTATGTCTGACCGGCGTTGGTCAACGCTTGCGATTAAAACGTACAGGTAATTTTCTACAAAATTGATACTCACCAATCAATCTGTACAAACTGGAGGCTTTGGGGGTTTCAAATGGACATTTTGATTTTTGAGGGTACTTCACACAAAGCCTCAAAAACATTCTCAAAATTGAATAAAAATATGGCACCAAATTTATTTATCAAACTTCATCTTCGGATAGAGTAAAGGACGCTTAAGAGAATGAAGGAGGTCTCATTATCGTTGATGTCCCATATTTTTGAAAAATAGTAAAAGTGCAATGTTTTGGATCGTCTTCCTACAACAATAATTTTCAAGTTTGTTATTTTTTTAAATGAAGTCTGTTCCTTAAAGACGAATCTTTAAATAAGTTCATGTTCAATTTGTCGCATATATAGGTAATTATTCCGTAACTTGGCGCAAATTATAGGATGAGAGCTCATTGGAACACTACATTAAAGGAAATAAGCGTAATAAATATGAACAGTTTCCTACAATAAATCTGAATCTAATATATTCATTCTATACAATTTAAATTGTTAAATATATAATTTCGAATATTCCAATTCGAATTTCCACACTCCATTTGCTATCCTTCAAGAAATATCATATTATAATGAGACAATGGCATATCCAACGCCGCGAGACGACTATATTCTGGGAATTCCTTCTGATTGATTGGAGATATAATAAATGGATGAAACGCAGATTTGTAAAATTTGATTGATATACGTATTAGCTTTAAATGAATAAGTTTTCCAATATAGTGTTCTCGTAATTGTAACGAGTTACGTAACTGTTACTAAGTGCGACCAAATACTTGCTTCTGTTGCACCACTAGTTTAAATAAGCAGCATCGCTACCAGCAGCAATTAATTTTGTATCAAAGTGCGGTGAAGGGTTCTCTTCGAGTATTTTTACGGTAGTGTAACATAAGCCAATATCCCTTCTGAACACAAGGCAGCTGTAACCCGCTACAATATTCGATGCACTGACGGCCTGGGCCACGCTGTTGAGCATAACATTCTCCAAGAACTTCTTGTTGCAGGTTCGTTCTGAAAGCGACTTGCAGCCAAGCCATTCTGGAGACTGCCCAGATCTTTCTCAGTAGCTCTTTCTCCAACCGTCGGCCCAGGCACATGATGGTGTGGGGCACGCTGTTGAGCATCGTCATGCTCAACAGTTTCAGTGCGGTCATCACAAGCTATTTAACAATTCCCACGATGGGACACCAGGTACTCTATTGAAAATAATTTTAATAAAATCACCATTGCCAGTATTAACCACAGTACTAGCTTACTGTGACATGTCTGCTGAGTATTTTAATGTCATTAAAGTCCATTATGCAAGTAGATTCCGTTAAGCTTTATTCAATTCTTACATGAATGTTATCGACCTGATTCATTTATAAAAATTTAATTTAATTTTGCTATGAAACAAAAATTTTCACACATATTTTCTTCAATACTTTTTCATGTAATTACATTCTCGAAATGGTCAAACCCATCAAATATATTTTTTTAATGTAGTTTAGTTATGAACTTGCAAAGAACAAATAAAACTTTTTAATATAAAAATAGCCGTCAGAGACGTCGTACTAAGCAAGCACAAGATATTAGTAGAACTCTGATATCGTTTGTGGACAAACCTGAAGCAAAAAGATCACGTTGCAATTGTATTTTATTCAAACAGAAGGATGTCAGCAGCTATCACAAGTCTTTGGTGGCACGAAATAGAAGTGCCTGTATCCTTTTATTATTAAATTATCCATTTGATTATATAATTTTGTCTGAATTGCTATTTGCGCTACCAGGAGAGGTGACGCAGAGCATCAACTGATGTCACTGCAGTGCCTCTGACCGGGAGGTTTTAGGTTCGAATCCCGATGGTTGCAGGATTTTCGAAACTGTCTAGATAGGTAGGTCGACTTCTGTCCCTGTCCGAAGGAGAATTCTGATCATATTTCCCTGGTTATTTCGATCAATACTAGGAGAAAGCCGGACCAGTATCTTAACAAACGGGCCAGGGTCCGTACGCGATATTTCTTTCCCATTTTTGTCCTATTTTATCCCTTACTTACACACACACTTTTATTCACTACACTACCACATGTCGACAGGTCAGATTAAAACTGGTCCCGGCTGGGGTGGTGCAGGGGGATGCCACCACCACCACCACCACCTCCTCCTAAGTAAAACATTCACTGCACTTACGGGACTAATTACCTTAGCCGTTGACGCGCTCAGAATCACTAATCAACCAACCAACCATCCAACCAAAATCTACTTGCGCTGAATCCGTTACTGGACCCATAGCCCTTCAGGAGCGTCTCAGCAGTTGGTCTAATGGCACTCAATGTGTTACGTAAAATGTTGCGGTTTCTGTGGTGTAACAGTTATCGCATAGGCCAGTTATATCCATGTTCGCGGGTTCATCGAAGCTATAGATTTTAACGGAGAAAAAAACATTCGTACACCGCCCTTCGGAGGGTAATTTTAGAGTCAGTGTTTGTTTGAATTACTAGACGTAAATGACCCTCAAGAAATTCTAAACGACTATTTCGATGGCCGTGTGATACCTTCTTTCTCTACTAGGAAACGAAACAAGCGTAGCAAAATTTGTGTGGTTAGACCTGATGTGCATATTGATTGGTACCAATCTACCGTACATTTCCAAGCTTCCATTAATTGTTAATATCATTAGTCCCGTAAGTGTAGTGTATATTTGTAGCGCGTGAGGTGACGTGCTTAACCCGCTGGATGAAGATCTTGTGCATGTCGGCTTGCGGGGTTTTTTCTTCACTCTGCCGGGACAAGCTCTAACCTTCCGAATGGCCTCCCGAAGTGGGTGGGTGTTTAGTGCTTAGAAGTATACGTCTTGTTTACGTAAAGTGTGAAGATAGGACAACGAACAGGAAGGAAAGATCTCGTGCGTCCCGTGGCCCGTTTGTTAGGGTACTACCCCGACATTTGCCTGGTGCTGATACACGAAACCATTGAAAACTACCAATAAAAGCGTCCAGTCACTAAAACTCGTCTTCAGACAGCGAGAGGGGGAAAATCCTACCTCCGTCGGGACTCGAACCTCCTGAGCTGGTCAGAGCTCATGGTGAGTGGCACTGCAGTGGCATTAATATTCACCTAATTAGAACCGCGAAGTCGTAGGCTTCCGCGGCCAGAGTCATGTGGGTGATCTGGGCTGTCCGGGTGACGCCAGCTGGTATACCAGCTCTGAGGAAGACCACGACAGAATGGTCGAAACGTCGGCAACTCAGCCTTCGACGCGGCGTCACCCGGAACGCCCTGATCATCCATAAGTAGAACCGCTTAGCTCTTCACGTAAGCAATGGCGTGATTGGCTGATCATTACTATGAGAAAATTGTTCAGAAGCAACTTCTTTGCAGCTGGACACGCTCCGAGACGTGATGGACCATGTGGACGTCGTCTACAACAGGGAAGACGGGGAGTTCGACCTGGAGATCCTTTTCGCGTCTGTAGATGAAGACGCCCTGCGCCTCTATGATCTGGTAACTACCGCGAGGGTCCTCATGAAAAGGAAATGCAGCCTTACGTATTGGATTTTCCTACGGGGGACACATCTCTGCAAGTGTTTAAACATATTGTTGGTGTCCTGAATTCATATCTCCAAATAATTTGTTGTGCTATATGACAGCCTTGTTTACAATGCGTAACGAAATACTTTTCACATTTTTCCACTTGTTTGTATGACATGTGTGAAGAAAATTGGACTGACTTTTTAATATACAACTGGAATAATTTATTTACATCCTCAAATATGTGTATGAGCAACGTAATTAGAGGTGTTGTAATTTGAAATTTTAAGATTTAATTCGCAGGTAAATAAATAAGCGTTTCTAAATTATTACAATAAAAGACTACCATATTTAAAGACAGATTTCAAACAAACATCAGAAGCATTCTGAGTAATCGAAGGTTATTATTTTTCACATGAACATGAGGTGGGCAATTTCAAATAAAGATATTATACATGTGACATTCATCATGGGTAATATCACAAGTGCTTTGGAAATTCTCAGATAAATTCCCTTCTCGCTTTGCGAGTCGGGGGTGTACCGACAATTTCCAAATCGTTAGTAGTATTTAATAGGACTAATCCACGAATGAAATTACGTCAAACCCAGTTCCAAAATGCGCCAAATATTGCAAATAGCTGAAAGCACGTAAAAATCAAAGTGGTTATGTTATAGTACATACACGGTTTATTGGACATCTATATAGCGAACGCTTTATTCCACCTCCTATGATAGATAAATTACATAGTACGTTTGGCCAGTATGGAGAAGTGGTAAGAAAAATCATAGAGTAGATACACCATCCTGATTGGGGCATTGTGTATGTATAGTTAAACACTATTGGTTTTATATATAGTTATATAGTTTTATGTATAGTTAAACACTATTTCGCGAGTAGAATAGTAACCAAATCCTATTTTGCATTTGTAGGTCACATTCTGACTCAATCAAAGAAATTTCGTCCATCTGTCAATCACCAATACATGATGTGTTACCAACCCACCAGGTACAAATCTTATCCATGTCTCTGTTATAAGAAATACCCTCGTTAATTGGCAAAAAAGTATCATCTTCCATCCCAACGTATTCCAGAAGTTTACCATATATTCTGAGACACCTGTATATGCCTTAGACGATTCCTGGGAGTGATTGGGAGGAGATCCGCAGTGGTTACGCCGCCATCTTGGACATCAAAAGCGTTCTTGAAAGGAACCGAAGAGCGACTCGGCACTTTTATGGAATAGAGTTGCACATAGCCCACCAGTGCATATGGACACCCGCATACAAGTAAGAGGCAGCACTACTATCCACTATCATTTTCTTTAAAAAAAAAGCTGTTTCGCTTGAGTTGTGGCGATTCCCGCGTTTTATTAGGGAGTTTTAGCGCCACGCGTAAGGTAGCGGCGTTATGCACTAACAGTGACGTGACGGACCTTGAAGGTGTAACGTCTTACCTTAAACCTAAGGTTCGACCTTATACCTTCATTAATAGGGAGTTTTAGCGCCAGGCGTAAGGTAGCCGCGTTAT